ATTTCTGCTCCTTTAACCGGGCTGAATCCCAGCCCGGGCTGAAAACTCTCCATATGATTAACCCCTAACATACAGTAGGCCACGGTCAAACCACAGGGTGCCGTCTATGACCTATTTATATATCAATATCTCTGTATCAATATGGATATTAATCCTCTGGATATTAATTAACCAACATAATCTCTATACAGTTACACTAAAGCGGTCAGTGCAGAAACGTGCATGAATAAAGCTCCATACAGTTATATCAAAGCGGTCAGTGGACAAAACACGCGGAAGCGAGGAACATGCGAGGGAAAAATAAGAGAAAAGAGGAAAGGGTTGAAACATACGCGATCGATTAACCCATTAGCTGGCAATGCGCCCTTCCTTTCTCCAACGCCAGACGATTTTACTCGTCAGTCGTAGGGTACTGCCTATAAATGGGTTAACAACAATAGCATATTTCTGACCCATTTAACACCTTGTATTTTGGATTTAATTTGTACGACACTATATATACTTTGTCTTTTGCTGTCAAAAACAGCTTTTCTAACCTGTGGGTAACCTAGTTTATAAACATGGCAATATTTGCATAGCGGAACTGAACCGTCGAACGCCACTGCCAATACTCAGTGTTGAAACGAGGACAACAATGTTGCATCCAGCAATGACGCATGATGCTGAACAACATATTGACCCCGTTTGAACGTGTTGCCAGATATTGGAACTTGGAAGATGTTAGACCTGCTTTCACTTTGTTGAATTTATAAAATTTTCATCCAACCTTGTACAACACTTGACGATTACGCGTAATCATTTATAGCATTTGCCGATTGTATATTCGGTCGCGTGATTATTGAATACGCTTTCCCAAAATCTCAAACGGTCGATGCCAGTGTAGTTAGCGACGATAACAGCCAGCTTCGGTGTGAGAGAGACACTACTATACCTGAAAAATATAAGCAGAACTTCGACGTTTCCCGCGAAGATCTTTCATCGGGAAGATCCTTCATCGACGAAATGTCGCTCGAAACGTCGAAGTTCTCTTTGTATTTTTCAGGTAGTGGAATCCCTCTCACACCACAGCTGTCTCCCATACGAAACCAATCACTTAAATAAAAATACAACATTTTTTTCTAACTTACAATAAAGGTGATAAACTTGTATCCCCAGAAAGTTTGTTCTTCGCTCAAAGATGCAACATCATCCTAAATATTATTTTCGAGTTCCGTTCACTAGCTTTGTGACTGGAATTTGCGATCAAGTGAGAACACTCAAAAATCTTAATGACTGCACAGCTGGAGATTCGTGATGTATTCAAATTTTATGAATATTTTTTACTTTTGACTGCTCTCATATAACTGTGGATTCCAAAGAATGTTATCGGTTGTTGATGATTATTACAGTTTGAACCTCTTTTGAATTTCTCCTTTCGCTGCAGTCGCAAAACGGGAAATAGATACAAAGTGGTATCATCGTATTCAAATGAATGCAAGGCCTAAATTTTGAGGGATTTTTTTATGAATATTTTCACCACTAGCAACCTCCCACGCGCCTAGTCACTTATAAGCCCAGACAATTGACCTACACTTACGAAACCGTTTGTGGAATATTTCTCAACAGCGACTGCATCTAAGCAGAAGTACATCTTGAGAAGTACATAATGTCTTTTCCTTCTGTTTAGATAGAGTGCCTGTCAAGAAACCTTTCACAAAATTTTGTATGCATTGCCGCTTCCAACACTTGACCCCCACAGTTTCAAAACATATACTTAAATTGTTCATATCACTTAGATTGCAGGCTAACTTTCCTGCGGAGTCTGCCTGCTCGCAGGTTATTTTTTACTCGATACCCCCGAAAAGGCGGCGTCATGTATAGACCTTCATCCGCGACTGCGTATCTGAGACGTTCTGTGTGGACATTAATCGCAGATGAACTATAACATGTAGCTGAGTAACCCATTAAGTTGCATTGCACCCTGATGTAACTTACTTTATTATTTTACACTGTCAAACGCCAGATTATTTTACTTACAGTACTATGTTTTGTAAAGTAGTCATTAAGGCCCTGTTTACACTGTACCGGATTCGCTGGTCACTACAACAGTTTTAACAGTCAATGAAATAGCCTAAACATTTATAGTGATAGTAATAAGTAGAAACATACTGACGTTATCGAAAGAGTAAGCCTTTGTTGTTCAACGTTGCTCCTGGGCAACAAACGAAGATGCCGTGACCAGTGAATCCGGTACAGTGTAAACGGGTTCTAAAAACGTCAGGTTAATCATTAGTACAGTTGCAACTGTACATAAATAAGCTGATTAAGTACAACCGTGTTTTTTTCAAAATATTTAATAGTGGATCTGTATGCCCTGTCTTTGATTTGAATTTCATTAAACGAATAACGTTTTTTGCAATTTTGCGTCGTTTTCTATTTTTTGTATCACTAGGCTAGATAAACAATTTTTCAACAGAGACTGTTATTTGAAACAAAGTGTAACAGGTTAAGATTGAAACAATCCATGCAAGTGAAATTATCGTCTTTGAAATGTACAAAAAGCACCAAAACGAGGCTAGTCAGGCTTGTTTGTTAAATCTAGCAGAAACTTCGGTATTTTTAAAATTTAATTTCTCCAAGAGAATATATGGTATATACTATATTAATTTGCACTCTGCAAAACTTCAAATCTTCATGTATTCTATATAAGGCATCAGTGATAACCTTGTATTCTCTTCAGCAGGTGTGAAAAAAACACAGAAAAACATTTTAATTTTCGACAACGAATTGTCGGTCTAGCCTCCTTCGCAGGCGTCGACTTTGTAAATCCTTCTAGCAACCCAGGTGAACCACGAGTTGTCTGCGGAGGAGACTATCGTCGGGCATATTTGATTAGAAAATATTTAGATTTTAGAATGATATAACAAATATTGTATGACAAATCCATTTTTTGCCAATCTGAGATACCTGATTTTCAAAATCAATTCTGGGGGAGCATGCCCCCAGATTCCCAAAGTGCATGGTGCCCTTTTTTGGCATCTGTAAATTTACTTTAGGATCGGACCCCAGCTGCATGATTGTTATCTGAATTAGTTTTATATTAGTATTGGAATAAGGTGGTTTCGAGTGCAAACTCTCCAATCTTGATTTTTCATCTTCAGCTGTGCAATGGTTTAATGATTACCTGTCTGACAGAACGCAGAGCATTAAAGTAGATAATGTTCCCTCTGATCCGTTACCAATCCAGTATGGGGTGCCCCAAGAGTCAATATTGGGACCATTACTCTTCATAATTTACATCGTATCAACAATATATCGTCTGTAGTAAATTGTTGTCGTGTTCAGTTATATGCTGATGATACATTACTTTATGTCAGCAGTCCCTCTATAAATGTGATTGGATCTAAATTATCTGAAGATTTGGAGCGGATTATAACTTGGTTAAATGGAAACTATTTGTTTTTAAATTATGAAATGACGAAAATGATGCTGGTTGGAACTTATCAGAGATTGAGTAAAGTCACAACCTTCACTGTTAGAGCAATGGATGCTGACAATCAACAGATTACTCTCGAGAGAGTATATGTATTCAAATATCTTGGTGTTATATTAGATCCAGCACTTACTTGGAATAACCACATTGATTATGTTGCCAAAAGATATCATCCATACATGTCCAATACTGTCGACATGATACGGATCGTGAAGCAGCTTCACGATCCGTCAAATTCGTACGGACCGTAAACACGAGTCACGATCCGTATCAACTCGTAAACGCAATAGGTGGTCTCCAATAGCGGATGCTTGTTGCCCAGATCTACCAACAGTTCGACGGATCGTACCGTTCGTACGGCTCGTAAGACGATTCACGATCCGACAAATCCGTACGGTCCGTGAAATGGCTTTACGGACCGTACGAAGCGTATACGGTTCGTGAAAATGAATGATTTACAGGTCGACCTAAAATAGGACATTGTTGCTCCGTTCTTAAGGAACCACGCAATATATCAATATAATATATTGTTGCTCCGTTCTTAAGGAACCACGCAATATATCAATATAATATATTGTTGCTCCGTTCTTAAGGAACCACGCAATATATCAATATAATATATTGTTGCTCCGTTCTTAAGGAACCATGCAATATATGAATATAATATAGGCCTATTGTTGCTCCGTTCTTAAGGAACCACGCAATACATGAATATAATATATTGTTGCTCCGTTCTTAAGGAACCACGTAATATATCAATACAATATATTGTTGCTCCGTTCTTAAGGAACCACGCAATATATCAATATAATATATTGTAACAGTTGCTCCGTTCTTAATTAAGGAACCACGCAATATATCAATATAATATATTGTTGCTCCGTTCTTAAGGAACCACGCAATATATCAATATAATATATCACGCAATATATCAATATAATATATTGTTGCCCCGTTCTTTAGAAACCACGCAATATATCAATATAATATATTGTTGCTCCGTTATTTAGAACAACGCAATATATCAATATAATATGTTGTCGCTCCGTTCTTAAGAACAACGCAATATATTAATGACATAAAGAGTCAGATGTATGTGGTCAGTATTGCATATTCTACGTTAGCCATATAGACCAAGTGGTGGAGTATTATTGTATATATTCTGCAATACCGCGGCTTAGTGGACTTTATAAACTCGTCTGCATGCTTGGAAACTGTAAACAATGTTACAAATAAATGTTAATAAACGCAATTTCATATAAAACATTTTGTAAAAATTTTCCCCATTATTACATTAATTAAAAATTTTGAGCCAGGTTTTATTATGCAAAATAAATCCTGATATCTTAAAACGCGTAATTCTTTGCTTTGCAAAGAAAACAATGGGCGGAAGTGTTACTGTTCGGCATACGGGTCTGTATAAAAAACAGAATATGAAACTTGAAGCAAGTTAAAAAGTAATCAAATAGCATGCACGTATTTATGCAATTTAGCTGATTCTCGCAAGTACTAGTTTTGCATCAGCAATATGTGTGAAGCAACAAACTTCGTCATAACTTCATCAAAAAGACAAATATCAGAGAGAAGACGAGCTTTGTTCAGAAGTGTTGATGGCGATATGTTTTACCCACTGTCGGTGTGGCCAAATGATATGAGAAGTGCGTTTCGGAAGAAACCAATTGGTGATGAAGAAACATTTAAGTTAGCGCTGTTCCTGATGGGCAATGGCTGTCCGCCAACAATGATAAAAGATTGGATTGTGTCTTCAACATTTTGGGATAAAAATAAAACAGTCAAACGATGGGAACAAGTAAATTGGATTATAGCGAACATTACTAAACATGAGAGAAGATGGTTTTATTTTGATTTACATTTCAGAAAGTTTTTGTATATGGATCGATCTGAAAGAGTAAAAGGATCTACTGTAATCTGTCTATGCTCAAAATTACGTAATCGAAGGTGGAAGGCAACCCTAAAAACCAGGCTTTATATACACTATAGTATTATTGCACCATAACAATCTAGTATTTACCTAATAGGCAGCAGAGGCAATGAGACTGTAATGGCGTATTCTGTAATCAAAAGCTAAGTTCTTCAAACATGCGCTATCTTACAGTTCTATCTTATGGTACGCTATTCGGTGGCTACGAAGTTCACCTTGAAGTTCGCTAGGTGTCACGTGTAAACCTGTAGTAGAGAGGTTAAGATACCCCGGTTCCGGTTTACGGGTACGGATAACATATACGTACCCGTACCCGTAAATCGGGGATCGACTTGCAACTTAACTGAGAAATGCAAGATACTCCAGCGTGAGAAAACCGACCAGAGAATGGTAACTTTTGCTGTTCAGGTTCGCCATAATTTGTTGAAAACTTTGACGACCATATGTGCATTATTTATTTGGGTAAGACTGTTGAAAATTTTTACTATTTAAACGGCCTACAAATAGTAAACAAAAAACACCCGTACTCGTTTGTCTTTTACGTGTAGACCATGGTTTACAGCGGGTAAACGGGTAGAAATTACGGGTAAAATTGCTGACATCAGCAAAAATTGGTAACCAAAATGGCGATACTCGTACCCGTAAACCGGAACCGGGGTATCTTAACCTCTCTTTTATTTCAGTCATTTCACGATCAAAGTATTGTGTTTTTAACGGGGAAATGTTCTGTGAAGTGCGCATATTATTTTGTTAGTGTTAGAGCGGGCAACGAAGTTTTAACTAGGCTTTGTACTCGCAGATCGCAAGCACATATCAAATAACAGTTCAGATATAGTGACACAATATTTACTGTATGATTCCTCCGCAAATATAGATAGCGAGAATGGCATAACAGAACAGAAACATATAATGTAACGTCTATGTTTGGTAACTTGGGGTTTAAGTTGACTATTAGCGCAAACGGTAAGCTTGGAAAACCATGATCTCCCAAATCAAACAGTATTTCCCAATGTACATTCCATTGCAATTTAATACGATGTTTATTATTGTTGCGCAAGTAGCAAACTCATTTTAAGTATTAGCGCAAACTGCACAGGCAAACTGCAAACTTCAAGAATCAATATTTTCGAAAAAACTAACCATGAATCTACCGCGACAACCAATAAAAGTTTTACACAATCTTACATGTATTTTAAATATATATTGCGACGATGACAACAACGACTAAGGATTATATGAACTACACCCTCAACCACTACTAAATTCTAGATACATGGTGATATTAATAACACATTTTAAAGGAACAAATAGCTAAATGCTGACGTTAAAGGAAGATCATACTTAATTCTCAATTTGTAATTCCTGACATTTACAGGCTGCTCACCAGATACTTTTCATACGTACGTCGGTACGTGTAGGAACGGAGAAGTTCAAACTAATTTATACATCAACGAATACACTTCAATTCATGCACAAAACTAGATGCTGTTCTTTCATTCATTTATTTATTTTATTGACATTGTGTCTGCTCTACTTTCAAAATGCGAACTCCACAATGGGCAAATGGCCGCCACTACCGTGAAAAGTGTCAGCCCGTATTGATGTCAACCAACAACGAGCAAGGCTCAGCAAGCCACTAAAATATGCAAACGTAAGTTTAACTCACCGTTCAGAACATGCGGAATGATCTACTCCATTTCTACAAAGAAAACATTTGCTTTACACAGCGCGTAGACTATTATTATTGCCTTGAACATAAAAGAACTTCAAGGTTCTTCTTGGTTCTTCTCGGTTCCTTTAGGTCTCTCTCGGTTTTCTGCGACAAAGCGACTTGATTCAACGACTCACTTCCGTACTGGCGAATAGACAGCTTTAGCAAATGCGACGCAACGTCAATCAGAGCATGAAAACTACGTCATACGCTTCGTTTACTTCCGGTTCGAATCTATCTTTTTCGAAGCCAATTTATTGTTTTTATTCGCCGCTTGCATATTTCTTTATCGTTTTCAATTATTTGTCAAGGTAATGTGCAAGAAAATGCTTTATTATGGTGAATATCATGATTCTGTTGGTATCTCACTCGATTGAATAACAGTAGAATGGTATTGTAGATGGAAATTATCCAGTGGAAATTTATGTACATTTATCAGACCTTAATCAAGAATAGATGCGAAAAATACAACTTTATAAATTTCCACTTGATAATTTCCATCTACTATACCGTTCTAATAAAATACAATACAATGGAAACTGTATTGTATTTTATTAGAATACTCAGTGGTTACTGAAAATATTAATACCGTTCTATTTATTCAATCGAGTGAGATGACAACAAAATTTTGATATTTACACATAACCTATACATGGCGGTACCCTAGTATATATATACATGAACTTGTGGTTAGAGCTCGACAACTGGCGTACTGTAGCTCAGTTGGTTAGAGAGCTGCACCGGAATCGCAGAGCCGCAAGTTCGATTCCTGACAGGAATTTTGGGGAAAACAAAGGAATGTTCGGGGCTTTTTGCAAGGAATTTGCTAATTTGGTCCAAATAGTTGTCAATTTTTGTGGCCACATGACTCTCTCCTTCGCAGAGGCTTACATGAAGTTTCTAGTGAGGGAAAAGTGAGCGCGCAAGGAGTGATGGGAAGAGCGAAAGTAAGGAAGCCTCTACGAGTTAATGCAATCAATATGGCGTCGTATATAATCGTTTGTAGCGAAGTTCGATCAACCATCGAAGGTGTTAAAATATGTTTTCGACTTTCATTTTCAAGCGTACTTGAGTATCCTGGGGTGAATTAAATATCAAGATCTTCTTCCGTCCATTTGCTTCGAAAAATATTGAGAAATTGCAAACGAATATCAATGGATACGAGCTATCTAATTATAAATATCCTCTTAATTGCAACATTTCTTTATAAAAATGACTCTATCGAACTTCGATACTCAGATTATGAAGATTCATTTCAAATTCTTTCACATTTCCTTCGATTTCAAGTTTAAAAAAAGGTCAAACAGCTAGGTTGGTTCGAAAACCATACTTCGTCGCATTATCTGGCAAGCCTCCCCAACTTCATTTCAATCTTCCCATCACACCCCGCGCGCTTACTTTTATTCAGGAAACTTCATGTAAGTTATTTGTAAATACTTAAGGAGGCTCCGCGGAGGAGAGACGCCACATGACAAAACGTTTCTTCAAAATGTGACCAAATTTTGAAATAAATTTTAAATTCCAGGTTTAAAACATGGCAAATCATAAACTAATGATGGATTTTTAAAAACGAAAGGAAATACACGCACTTTTTCAAACGGTGAGGCGAGAATTATTGATTTTGACACGAAAGAACCAAGCAAGGCATGCATAAAAGTTGAACTTTAATTATTTTAAAACTGGGTTCCATATAAAAGGCCAGGCATTTGTATTTCAATTTTTCCCTTCGACTTCCTACCCAATTGGAGATCAAAAGGTGGTATTTCTAACGCCAATCTTGCATCCTGCGGTAGATCGAGGAAATATTGAAGTGCTATAGGCAATGATATACTTTCTTTGATATTAACTAGTCTAAACTTTTATAGCTCTTGACTCTTTGAGTGGCAGCACTCTCCCCTTGACGAGTAAAGTTGTTTGGCGTTAGACAGAGTAAAATAATAAAGTAGGGCGCATCAACGTGCAATACAGTTTGACTCATTGAGCCGATACAGTTTGACTCGATATATACCTCGGCAAGGTAGAATTTAATCCGCTATGGCATGAGTCCCAGGAGTGAATGCTGGGCGTGCCGCCTGGCGCCGCCGACCATGGGAAAATCCCATACATTCGAACTTGCAATTGGCTGAGCCAACGTCAGAAAATTTTCAGGCAGAGTTTTGTGAAATCAACTGTGACTAGTGGGCACAAGGAGACTGCATACCTTTCCCAGCGAATTAAATTATGTATCATGCATAAATTATACAATGGGGATAATTTATGTATTCAGTTTAGTCTGGCCGACAAAACAAGACAAACCTTTCTTATCCAATTTTCATCCAAATTGAACTAAAATTCAATCAATTTGTGCTTGGGCTATTTCGATTAGTCCCACAAATTTTGGTATTTAATATGTTTGATGGTTTTTGAGTTAGCATGCTGACACACACACACATATACACATACACGCACGCACACACACACACACACACACACACACACACACACACACACACACACACACACACACACACACACACACACACACACACACACACACACACACATACATACATACAAACCCAGATGATTACATAACCTCCTGGCGGAGGTAAATATATAATGTAACGTCTACGTGGCTAAACAATTAAATTTTTACATAGGAGCAAAGAACAGTTATTTGCTTTTCAATGAAACCTTTTTAAATCGTAACAATGAGAAATGGCCACATACTCGTCAAATAAAAACTGCCGGTCAAAATCACATTCTTCCACTGTTGGGAATTGCATGGAAAACGAAACATAGACAATTCCCAAGAGGGGATTAAAATTGAATGTTAAATTATCTAACTGAATAAGCTCAACTCTTCAATCTTCGTCTTAGTGAGTTAGTGAGACAATAACTAAAAAAACGCCATTAAACATGAGAACCACTGAACAGAGAACATTCGTAATCAAAACTTTTCACGAAACAGATAGCTTGAAGCAGGCTCGTGTTGTTTTTGGATTGACTAACTTTGCATAATTAATGTATTTTCAATTCCCAACGGTGGAAGAATGTCTTTCGATCGGCAGTTTTTATTTGACGAGTACTGTATGCGGCCATTTCTCATCGTTACGTTTAGAAATGCTAAATATAAACAGCTCTTTCGTCCTATGTAAAAATTGAATTGTTTAGCTAATTTTATGATGCACGACAGCCTGTTGAATTTCCATAGCGTTTTTTTGAGACACCCTTATAACTTGGGTTTTAGTTGACTATATCACTACTAGCTAG